GGCCATCCCACTCGGAAGGGGCTCAGGTGACATTCTTTGGGGAGTTTCTAAGCAGGGCATGGCAAGGTCTGAGTGCCACCATCCTGGAGATGGGTGGAATACCTACAAAACCCCAGAGCTTAACTGTAGGGCCCAGGCATGGCAGCTCAGCAAGGTCATGGATTAATGAGGATGGAACTTCAAACTTCACGAGAAACATGAAATGCAAAGGCAAGTTTATTTTGGGTAACATTTTTTTTTTCCCTTGAAATCTGTGCCTGGTTTTTTCATAATACATCTTCTCCCCGAACTTTGGAGACCTCCTGATGGGAGCCTCAGAGGAGACCAGGGACACCACCTGCTGTGCACCTGCTGTCCCACCCCGTCCCTTCCCCCTCCCCGCCCCCTACTGCCACCCCTGCTGGCTGTGCTCTGGGACAGTCCTCACCCAGTGTCACCACAGGGCTGTGTGTCTCCAGAAGCAAGGCTGCAGGTGTAAGGCAGAGAGGAATTCATTCCCTTTTGTAGACAATCCTTGGATTCCAGTCTCAAGGTGGACCCTGAGTGCGCTTCTCTGTGCTGTGCACCCGGTTTTCAAAGAAGAGAGTTCAATGTCAAGCCTAAGCCCAAGATCAAGGAGAAAGACTGAAAAAGAACCTTGCCATTTCCTCTCTGTCTAGGGAAGCTCATGACTGCAGCGTTCCAGATGCCTGTGTGCGCTGAGCAGCCGTAAATCACGCAGTAGGTGGGCAGTACATGGGATGCTGGGACGCCAGGCTGTGGGCCTGAGTAGGACAGGGGAAGCAGGAAGCAGCAAGGGGGAGGGGAGAGAAGAAAGGGGAGGGTGGCTCATGCCCTGGTGTCTTTTTTCTTACCCCCACCCCAGCACCAAGCATCTTCCTGCTGTGTTCCTCCATTGCCTGCTCTCCCAGCTGAGCCACATCTGCCTCTAGGCAATGTCTTTACCCCCAGAATACATGACCAGGTGCACCAGGTGTGGGCAGGCAGGGAGGAGAAGAGCGGGCACAGAGGACAGCATACCTGCAGGGCTGGTAAACTCCCTGGAGGCTGCTGTCATCCAGGCCTCCACGCGTATATGCGCGTATATGTGTGGGTGGGTTGCCAGGAGCAAAAGGGGAAGGTGAGGGCATGAGCTCTGGGCCACCCTGAGGGCAGCTCTGGAAAAACCAGGTGACTTCCTATGGGAACTCGAGGCTAGGGCTGCTGGGAGGAATAGGAAGGGGCGTTCTTGGCTGCTTCCTTTCTTCTGATCCCTCGAAGTCAGTTTGGTAAATGAGAGGGTGTCGTCACATCAGAAGAGAACAGGTCCCTTGGTCTGGGAGAAGTCTTAGGGCATACATGCACGGGGTGACCAGATGGCCAGTTTAGTTAGTCCCAGGGAGGAGAGGCTGGGAATGGATTCACAGATGGGACTGGGGGTTTCTCTTCTAGAACCACTGGGATGCTGACTCGGGAGGCAGTGAAGATGAGATCCAGTTTGGCTCCCTAATGATGGCTCTCCACACGGGGAAGGACCCAGGAGGACCCTGCCCGTGTTCATTTCCTGGGCCTCTCAGGGCACCTGGCTGGATGGCAGAGATCCACCCAGAGCCTGGATGGGGGCTGGTCTACCAAGCTGTAGAGAACAGACCTTCATTCCCACGGTCACAAGATGCGGAGCTGGGGGAGGTGCACAGGAATTAACTCCATGTATCCAGCCGTTGGCTTTCTTTCGCCTCCCTGGCCTTTCTCGGTGAAAGGAGAGTGAGAGAACTGAGCTCCTGGGCTCAGGTGTCAGAAACTGTTTAAAGAGGAAGCATCTATGGGAAATGTTCTTATCAAAATGTTCTACCAAAATCCACAGCTGCTCAAAGCCCTCATGTCCGATGACATAGCACTAAATCACCTCTAAAGGACTTAATACCTAATACAATGTAAATATCATATTGGTAGTTCACTGTCTTGCTTAGACAAGCATTGGTTCATATCATAGAGGAAGAAGCTCCTGGCTCCTGGCTTTAGACTGGCTCAACTCCAGTCATAGTGGCAACTTGGGAAGTGAATCATCGGACGGAAGATCTTCCTCTCTGTCTCTCCTCCTCTCTGTATATCTGCCTTTCCAATAAGATCAGGTAAATCTTAAAACAAAATCTTAAAAAGGAAGTGGAGCCAGATCTTGACACTGGCTCTTGCCACATTTTTCTCCTCATCCCACACCTTCAATTGCAGAAAGAAAACAACACATCACTTTCCTCAAGTTGGCCACCTGCTTCCAAATATTTGTGGAAAGTGCAATTCAAAGATATTGACTTTGATATTTACGCATATGCAAGGTCTTTCAGAAGTTCAGGAAGATGTATATTACAAAAAGTATGCATAATTTTAAAATTTGTACCACAATAAGCTTACATCTTACCCCACGACTTTCCTGAAGTATCCTTATATGCCTACACAGCAGATCACCTCTGTGGTATATGAAACAAGCTGTGGCATAGTAGGTTAAGCTGCTGCCTAGGGTTCTAGCATCCCATATGGGCACCAATTGGAAGCCTGGCAGCCCTACTCTGGCCCAGCTCCCTGCTGATGCACCTGCTGAAAGCAGCAGAGGATAAACCAGCTGCTTGAGTCCCTGCACCCATGTGGCAGGCGTGAATGAAGCTCCTGGCTCCCAGCTTCAAACCAGCCCAGCTCTGGCCATTTAGGCCATTTGTGCAATCAGCAGATGGAAGATCTCCACCTTTCCCCTCACTTTTCTGTAACTCTGCCTTTCAAATAAATAGATAAATCTTTTAAACATGCGAAAGAAACAGGTTGGATACCTTCCTGCCTTATGATTCTTGGGAGAAAAAAAAAGGTATTGAAGACTGGGGCAGACTGACATACTCCTCAGTCCACTTTGCCTGGGCAGCGGAATGCATTGAACTGGCCAACCTACTGTGCAGGTTTGCACAGCTTTAGCTCTCAGCCCAGGTCACGCTCAGGGGATGCTCAAGGGAAGCCAGTCATCAAACTCCTTAGCTTATAGGTAACAGTCCTGAAGGGACCCCAGACTTGCTGCTGACCTGTCAGTCAGAGGCTGTGAGCCACACAGATCCAGGTGTGTAACTCTATCCCTGGTGGTGTCCCCAGTCCCCGGGGTTCATTCACACCCCTGGCAGGGAAGAAGGGACCGGAAGGAGGAAGTGTGCAGAGCACAGCCAAGGTTAGGGAAGGCGCTTTCCTCATCAACCTAGACCTGGCTATGAAGCGTTACATAAAGGTCCTCCAAAGTAAACCTCTTGAACCTTTGTCTACCAGGTCTCCACACAGCACACCAGACCCAACTGCCCTATCCTTTGCTTCCCTGCTGGTCAGCCTCACCCCTCCATCCCCTGCCCCCAAGGGCTAACCCCTCCACAAACTACTCTGAATGTCCTTGTGTTGCCTCCTTTGCTCTCTCATTGCTCTTTGATTTATGTGCCCTGTCTACAGTTCTTCTCTCATTCGACTCATGCTAATTAATTGTGAACCTAGTTCATTTTCCCCTAATGGATGATGAGCTCCTTAGACACAGATCCTAACAGTGACTTCATCTCTGTGGTGCCCCCCTCTCTCCTTTCATGCCTGGCCAGGGGTTTAGCTTTGAACTTCATGAGAGAACAATAAAGAATTGTTAAGATGGAATTTACCTTGGTTTCTTAAATTAGGGCATCTGTGAAACAGATCAGACTCTCTCCAGTGATGAGAGTCCTAACCCCCATGCCATCCTTCAGCAAACTTTAAGGGACTCTGGTACCCACCCTCTTCCACCTGTTGTCATGAGGGCCACTGAAGCAAATCCAGCTGAGAGAGAGAGCGCAGACTGACAAGGTCGGCTCTTCCAAGTCTGGCCATTTAAAGAGGTTAACGTTAAGTAGCAAAAGCAGGAGTCACTTTAACATCTGTTCCCAGGGAAAACTCGGGAGGGGTTTCGTGAGGTTAGGGTAGATGGAAGAGAAAGAAGCAAGCAGAGAGGGAAAGGGACCTGAACAGTGGGGGCTGAGACTCAAATACAGTCCCCCTCACAACACGGAAGAGGAGACACTGCACTCCTTCTGTTCCTTTTCCAAGTGGAAATTCTAGACACTCCCAAGGTGGAAGATCATAAGGTCTCCCAGGGCCGTGGACCACTGGAAAGAAGGTACGAGGAGGGAGGAGGATGAAGATGACAGAGTCGATGACCATGGCCTTCCAGTGGGGCCAGGGAGGGTCACTCCAGAAGGTGCTGTTGGGAAGATGATGAGGACACTTAGTGACAATGCAGACCGGGCCCATCTGGGCTGGTGGCAGCAGGTGGATCGAGGGCAGGCACGCAGTGCATCCCCCCATCCCTGCTCAGCACACAAACTTCACATTCCCTTTACTCAAGCTCCAGGGGGCGAGAGTCGCAGGGGTTAGAGGGGAAGAAGGATCCAAGGGGTCACCACCACACAGCCAGTAAGGGGAGGAGACGTGTTTCCAGTACAGCTTCAACACATGGTGTGTCTGTGTGTATGCGTGCGTGTATGTGTCTTTCTCTGCTAAGTAAAACCCAAATCCTTCCTCCAGGCAGGGCTCCTTCCAAGGTAACACAGGGGGGAAGTTCTCCATCCTGTTTCCCATCAAATCACCACTTTGGGCACCACTGAGAGGGTTGTGACAATCTCTCGCTCCAGACCCAGGCAGGAAATCAGGGGTTCACCGTGAAGCCCCACGCACCTGAGCCCAGGAGCCCAGACCTTGTCTTACTTCTGACTTGGCCACAGGTCACAAAGCACAGAGAATTAAGCAAGGCTGGTCCCACCTACTCCAACTTCTGCTTTTCAGAAGCACCTGGGGTGGGGGATGGGGGAGCCTGGAGTCCCCCCCCCCCCCAAGTGCCTGGCCTTTTCTGGGAGTCAAGAGAACCCTCTCATCCCTGTCATGGCTTTCCCCCAGCTCCCCACCCCCATCACACACAGGGTTTGCCAGGGGAGGGGAGGGGTGTGAGTGCACTGCCTGGAACCCGCAGAGCCCAGGGGTACCTGCCAAGGTCTTGATCCGGGACCGCTCGAAGAGCCTGGCTGAGCTGTTGTCATTATCCAGCTCATCGTCCGGGGCATCCCAGCGGGCATTGATCCGGCTGTAGGGTGGCTGGTTGCCCACGTTTTCAAACTCCGTGGCCGATGTCATGTCAGCAGGCTCTTCTCAGCGGCGACGCCTGCCTCAGTCCTCATGGAAGGGTCCCTGGAAAGGGGCAGCAACACAGTCAGAGAGGGGCAGCTCCCCGTCCCGACGCGCTGCCTCGGGGATACTGGGTCTGGGCGGCCACTGGTGGCAGACGCTGGCGGGTGCAGCAGCACGCAGCCATGTCATCCGCCAGGCTTGCCTCCCGCCCGGGCGCTCTGGGTCTTGGTTATAAAAGAGTGCAGCAGCAGCAGCAGCAGCAGCAGCCCCGGGAACCACGGGGACAGGGACTGGGATGAGGACAGAATGGAGTGCAGCGAGGGTCAGGGCAGCCAGCAGGTGGCACACTTGGCCGCTGCCAGCCGCTCCCTAGGAGCCCGGCGCAGGTCGCCTCTTCCAGGGAGCCTGGGGCTGGGGACAGCAGTGGACCTGCCTAGGACCCTGCCTGGTGAGGGGACCTGGGGACAGGCGAGAGGGGCAGGGAAAGCTCGAAAGCCTAGTCCAACTTCAAGGTGAATCAGTAGAGGAGTTGCGGATGGGAGAACCAGGCAGCCACGAAGGTGTCCAGACAGCTGCTCCAGGGAGTGGGTGGAGATGGCAAGCTGCTACCAGCCCCTTCCCAGCGGCTGATATTCTGAAAGCTGTGCTTTGCTTCTGCCTTCTGCGAGGCTGGACCCGGAGCTGGAAGGAGCTCTCCCACCGCCGAGCCTGCAGCAGGCACATCACCCAGAGGAGCCACTGTGGCAGGCAGCCACCTGCGGGGTAGTGGTGATGCAGGAAGCGCCCCGGAGTGACCAAGCTGTGGATCTGGTATCCACACCGCCATCAAGAGTATCAGGAGTCCTGAGTCCTCACTTGCACTTCACGTGTTGTGTTCACTGGCTAGCCTGCTCAGGCATTCATCGTGAATTCAACTGTGCCCCAAAGCCCCAGTGAGGAGGCAGGCAGAGTGCTAGGAAAGCTGCCACCTGCAGCGCTGGCATCCCATATGGGTGCCGGTTCAAGTCCTAGCTGCTCTACTTTGAATCCAGCTCCCTGCTTATAGCCTGGAAAAGCAGCAGAGACTGGTCCAAGTCCTTGCACCCCCCCCATGGGAGACCCAGAAGAAGTTCCTGGCTTCTGGCTCCAGGCTCCTTGCTTTGGCCTGACCCAGTCCTGGCCCTTGTGGCCATTTGTGAAGCAAACGAGTGGGTGCAAGATTTCTCTCTCTCGCTCTCTCACACACACTCTATGTCTCTCGGCCTTCAAATAAGTAAAATAAATATATTTTTCAAAAAAGGTAACTCAAGGGGTAGGCATTTTGCCTAGTGGTTCAGATACTGATTCAAGACAGCCACATTCTCTGCTGGAGTTTGTGAGTTCAAATTCCAGCTCCGCTTCCTCAAGCACTTAAGTTCCTGTTGCTCACGTGGAGACATGGGTTGAGTCCCTGGCTCCTGGCTTCCACGCCAACCCTGCTCTGGCTGTGGCAGGTCTTTGGGGGTGTGAACCAGTGGAGGAGAGCTTTATCTGTATCTTCTTTCTGCCTTTCCAATAAATAGGATTAAAAAAAAAAAAAAAAAGGAAAGAAATGGCCCGGCGCCGTGGCCTAGCGGCTGAAGTCCTTGCCTTGAAAATTCCGGGATCCCATATGGGATCCAATCCTGGCAGCTCCACTTCCCATCCAGCTCCCTGCTTATGGCCTGGGAATGCGGTTGAGGATGGCCCAAAGTCTTTGGGACCCTGCACCCATGTGGGAGACCCGGAAGAGGTTCCTGGCTCCTGGCTTTGGATCGGCATAGCACCAGCCATTGCACTCACTTGGGGAGTGAATCATCGGACAGAGGATCTTCCTCTCTATCTCTCCTCCTCTCTGTATATCTGACTTTGTAATAAAAAATAAATAAATCTTTTTAAAAAAAAAAAAAACCAGCAGTAACTGGAGGTGGCAGGTGGCATTTGAGGAACGTGAGACAGATGGCTGGGAGGCAGAGCCGGGGCCTGAGTGCCAGGGGTCTTTCCTCCACTGTGCCTGCCACTGTATTTCTATCAGGAGTTGAAGGGAATGTCAAGATCAAGTCTATGAGAAGAAACAGGGCCAGGGGCTCCCCACCCCAGAGAGCTGTGAAGCAGACAGACGACAAGTGTCGACAACTAGTGGGCTGAGATGTGAGCCACACACCCCACACACAGCATCTGCACAAATGCGCATGCGTGCGCACACACACACCCAGCTAGCATGTTGACACTTGCTGGGACATGCACACAACGCAGAGTGTGTGTGCTCCAACCCCTGCCTGCCCTCATTTCAGAGTCATTGACTTTCTCTTCCAAGCCTGATGAACAAATCCCACAGCATCCCTTCGAGGTAAGACAGCAGCCAGGATTATCCACTTGAACTGCACAAGGGAGAAGTCAACCAAGGCCAAAGACCCCAAGGTCATGAAGCAAATGATTGCTGTGGCTAGCAGCAAAGACCGAACCATAGCCCCGTTCATCTTCATCCACTGGATGGGGTTTAGGGAAACAGCTTGGGAAAGAACCCAGCACCTGGGCATGCAAGGTGCCACACTGGATCCCCGGCTGCCAGGGCTGGGCAAAGGTGTCTGCCACACTGGAGCAGGAGCAAGTTCAAGGTATGGAAAAATCAGTCATTACACTGGACTCAGGATGCATGACAATGCCAGGCCCGTACCCCAGGCTGCTTCTGTCTTTTGGAACGGCCTGTTCTCCACACAGGCACAAGCAGCTTCCCAGGGCCACTATGTCCCCTCAACTGCTGGACAAAAAGCTGGGAAGGGTTCCCAACTCCCCATACCTGGCCCCTTTCCTTAAGGGGAATTATCACCCACAAGCTCAGAGCCAGAGACAGCATGGCTGGCTGGCTACCTCCTGCAGGCACCACAAGCCCACCCAGCAGTCAGACGTGGGGGGCAGGGTGAGCTCAGGCCCCGGGCACGGGCCGTAACCAGACCCTGGCTCTCTCCCTTCATCCTGGGCTATATTTAAGACTGGCCAAGAGAGGCCCAGGCCAGGGCAGGGGAGTGAGATTACCTTCACTGTGACTCTGTAAATAAGCCCGCCCAGGAAACATGAGCCTGCCAGGAAGACCAGTGAGCCTGTTGTCCCCAAGCAAGATGGATAGCCACAGGGGCAGCAGAGAGCTGGGAAATGTGGTCCCTCCTGCTACTACAGGCTCTGGGCAGGTGGCAGCCAGGCTGCAGTTCTGCCAGCAGCAGGCAGAATACCTTCATGCATCTGATACACAATTATTCTATGGGCTCTGTGTTTCTTGGTTTTTGGAAAAGCTGAGTCCCTGAAAGCAAACTGGCAAGAAAAGAAGGTTCCACAAGGAAAGTGAGGCTGTCTTCTTCCCTGCTCCCGCCCCCGTTGCTGGCATCCATCACCATCAAGGCCACGGGTGGAGTGGGGCTGAACACAGGCACAGCAGCTCCCAGAGTCAAGGCAGAGAGGAGGAAAGTAAGAACAGCGGAGAGCTCCAGGGGATTCTTCCAGAAGAACCTCCCTCCCCGCCAAAGATCACCTGAAGCTGAGTCCAACCCTGGGCCTCTTCGGTGTCACCTGTGTCTACCACAAAAATGACTCCGACTGAGGAAGTAGCACAGTTTGCTGAACCGGGGGTGGGGTCACAGACGTGACCTGAAAGTTACCAGCTGAGGGGACGTGACTCTGAAAGGACCTGGTCATGTCTTCAAGGTGGTAATTCATCTACGTGTCTCGCACAGCCCTCCGTGAGTCATGTGAGACTACAAATATGGAACTAAAATTAGACTCTAAACCATCCCTCACGGCCCTGTCAGTCAACCCAGGACCTAAGAAGTAGCACCCTCTCTGCTCACCACCCCGTCCTGACCCAGCTCAGCCTCAGGCCCCTGCAAAGTCCTGGGGTCAGTCACCAGACCCTTGCCCAAGTAAGCGAGTGAGTGAGTGAGTGAGTTGTGGGTGTGTACGTGTGTGGCTTCATGACCAGGGACATCTGCTTGTCTGTCTGGTATTCAACGTTCTGGAGGGGACTCGCTAAAAGCTCCCGTGCTCTTCCCCGCCCCCCGCCCCAGCTCTCACCATTTCCGTCACAACCTGGCACCCCCACCTGGCACACATGTGCCTGGAAAGTGGCTTCACGTGAGAACACAGATCGCAGCCTCTGATGCTGTCCCCCGTGCATCCCTGGGGTGGTGAGGAGCCAAGCAAACAGTTGGAGAAGCAGCAGCATGGCAGCAGGGTGCTGCTGGGGGCACAGCAAGGACACGTGCCAGCTCTCCACACCCCACACCACTCCAGAAACAGCACTGACTCCTCTTCATTGACCCACACCAAAGGAAAGGGCCTCTTCCTAGTGGGTGGTCCACTCTGCCCCAGGAGGCAGGCTGGGGGCTGCCTGCCCTGGACATACTCTTCTGTATTTATTTTTCTCTGTAATGGTTGATCTCTCATCTGCCATCTGCTACCTACCATGTCTATCTTGACCTTCCCCCAGACCAACCCTTAGGCTTACCCCAAAGCCTACTTTGAGCAGACCTGCATCTTGTGACAACCCAGGTCAGGAGGTTAAATCCTGAAGTCACCCTGATAGCTTTCCTCTGATGGAAATCTCATGGCATAGTCACAGACCCCTAAGAATGCTCAAATACCGTGGCATGCACACTCACTCCAACAGAAGGAGGACTCATGGAATGGCCAGGGCTGCATATGGACTTGAGGTCTGTCACCAACCCCAATCTCCTCCCACCCCTATATTCCAACCCTAAGCTCTCATGTGGCACCTCGATGTCAGGTACCCACAAGACACCTCCACCTAGACAGTCTAGCTCCAAGACAAGTGTTTGGTATAGCCGTGAAGACATCAGTCAGCACATCAGAGTCCCCCATCAGAGGGACTGAGTTCAAGGCCCAGCTCCGGCTCCCGAGTCTCTCTCTGCTCTGGTTTCTGTCACCAGGCGGGGGCTTCAGGCTCACGTGTCACCACTTGTCCACCTTCATCATGGAAAACTTGTCTACTAAGAATTGGCTCCAGTGATGGGGCAGCTGCTAGAGGGGTGCTGTGGCCCCACGGTTCCATC